TAAACGAACAAAATTTTTTTTGTTCATGTTCGTTTATTAAGGAATATAAGTTGTTCATGTTCGTTCATTTAATAAATAAACGAACATAAATGAACACGAACATAAACGAACACGAACATAAATGAACACGAACATAAACAAACATAAACGTTGGAGACCCTACCTTCCATTGTTCTTTCATGAAAAATAGTCGACAATGCAAATCAACCAAATCTACAATGATAAATAGCGTAAGAGCTTATTAGCAGTGATGAAATGTTTGAAGATATCAAATATTTCGATCGATCTTTTAAAGATATTAAATGATTCACACGACTTTAATTTAACGCTATAACATTTATCTTAGTGTTCCATGATTACATATGAACAAATCATTTTCCGCTATTACACTCTTTTTCAGAAATTGCATAGAAACCTTTGTTTTGTTTTCTGGCAAATTCTATATATTTTTCTTTTTACTGATGCTCATACACTTCCGATTTTTACCTTTATCTTCCCATCTATTTCTAGAAAGAAGTATTATGTTTTCTTGAGTTTTAGATGTGAAGATACCCACAATAATTTTATAATCAACTATTAAGTCAAATAAAACAGAGAAAGAGATGAAAACAGACCTGTAAAACTTCATATTGCACTATAATATAACTTGTTTTAAATCTTTCAGAGATCGTCTCCACTCTCCAGTGAACAATCAGGTTTGGGAAAAAAAAAGGGGAAAATGAATATAAGTGCGAGATGCCTCACAGGTTAACATATTGGATTTAATCTCCAAATAAAATTGGGTTAATTATGGAGTTGGTCATCAGAATATCAGATTAATATTTTTAAGATACTTACAAATTGGTCACCAAAATTGATTTAAGAAGATTGGGTTAAACATAAATGAATGAACATAAACGAACATAATCGAACGAACATAAGCGGACATAACCAAACGAACATAACCAAACGTTCACGAACGTAAATGAACGAACGAGACCTATGTTCATGTTTGTTCATTTAATTAAACGAACAAAAAATCTTGTTCATGTTCGTTTATTTAATAAATAAACGCACATAAACGAACTTCCCACCGCACGGTTCATGAACGGTTCGTTGAACGTTCAGTTCATTTACAGGCCTATTTAAGACATCGATTCAACAAATAAAAGAAGGAAATTTTATATTGTAATAATGCTATAAAACGGTGTTTGTTTGCATTAACGGTATAAATTTTAAATCACTCCTCGCATTTGAAAAAAAATTCAATTCGCTTTCTTAACTAAAGTCATATATGAAAGTTGGAAGCTGAGTAATGTATTTGTTCTTTTACCAGCCGTAAAGTGGATGGATTTAGTTCGATTCTAAAGCATGATCGCACTCTAAATATATTAATCATAATTTGTTGCTTCAGTTCTACTGCAAGGGCACTTTTATCTTTCTCGTTTCTCATTAATTATTAAAATATGCATAAACATGTAGAGTTTAGTTGGATCAACTGTTAATTGCTTTCGGTTATTCCCTAATGCTTAATTACTATAAGATCAGAGGAGCAGATCACATGAAAAAGGTGTTGCTTTTGATGGTTTCCCGAATTGTTCTTTCGTAAGATATGATTATAAAACTGGGTTATGGCTTACACCAATAGAAGATGAGTAATATTTATCGTATCTCAATTCTGGATAAATTCACGTGCATCTTACATGTAATGCTATCATTCCTTGGATTCCACTACTCGTGATACCATATCCAAATTATTAAAATTAAAGGGCATTTTGTGTTATGTTTTCAGAATTTACGAATAGTTTGACCGTAATAAGGGTTTAATGACCAATTTAAGTTTCTTTCAAAGTTTAGAGGAAAGTTTATAAAAAAAATCAAGGATCAATTTGAGAAAAACAATTCAGGGGATAAATTAACGAAAGTTGGCAAATTTAGGGATGATTTGTAAGGTTATGAGCTAGGTATAAGTATCGGGCCAAAAGTTATAAAATAGGCCTTCCTGTACCCATAAATTTCTACATGAATAAGCCCGAAACTAGATCTGTCTGCATGCCTCTTATGATGAACAGGTAAATATAACTTCAACTTGCTGGTAAACTCGTGTTCTTGAATATAATAATAATAATAATAATAATAATAATAATAATAATAATAATAATAATAATAATAATAATAATAATAATAATAATAATAATAATAATAATAATAATGTGGTGTAACATCGTTATTTTCACACGTAACATGTAAATGAAAGAATCCACTTTTGTTTTGTTCTCATGTTTTTTAAAAATTAGAATAATTTTCACCAACTCCCATGGCTTGCTCGTGGTATGCTTTATCATAATCAATTAAGCCTAATAAACCTCACCTATGTAGGGTGTGGAGGGCTCCAAATTTGGATGCCTTTTTCCTTTCTCTTAATTAGGAATCTTGTGATTGAATGTTTTTTAACATTAAGTTCACCTATCTAGTGCTAAAGCTTTTAAGTTTTTTTTAATTATCGGTGTTTTACAAATATGTATTATAAAAGTGATTATTTAATTTAGTTTACTTCATTCATAAATATAATGATTTAAATTCTTAAATCACTTAAAATAAAGTATATCTCATCTTTAGGTCAATTGATTATTAATAAAACTTTAATGTTTTATATTTAATTAATTAAACTCTTTCTTGTACCAAAAAAAAAATTTAATTAAATCTTTCCAACATCTGGCTTTAACCTTCATTTTTTAAATAACCTAGCTATACACTATACATACTAGACTCTAACTTTTCCCATGTTATTAAAGCATTATTAAAAACATTACCATATTGTATTCTCTTGGTTAATGCAATACTACTATGTCATCATATACATTCATATAATGGGATATGATTCAATTATATAGAGTAAACTTTTTAAATTTTACATATATTTTGTGTTAGATGATGAAATAAACGATTAAGATTAACAATAGAAAATATAAAGATATTCACTGAAGAAACTAAGAGTAAATCTCAACTATTCTTTTTATCTCATCCAACATTTTTAAATCTATGCAAAATAAAGAATTTTACATTGTAAGTGGATATATATATATATATATATATATATATATAGTTAAAATAAATTGTTGGAAGATGTAATTTATTTATTTTAAAACATAAAGATGTATAGTTGCAAAAAATAATAAATATAAATATGTTTTTTAAAAAAATCAAAAGAAAAAAGTCTAATTTTATTTATATTTAATTAATAAAAACTTAAAATATTATCAGACTAAAAATTTGGAAGGTAAAAGAAGTTTATTTTTTCACATTTATTTGAATCATTATTTTGATATATATATATATATATATATATATATAAAATATTAATTGTCATCATTTCATTCATGATCAAAATGATTTTTTCAGATAAAAATTAATTAACTAATAATATTTGTTACTAACAAGGATCCACATGAGTTAGAATATTGATGCAATATTTTTTTTATGTGTGATTGATTAATGAATAATCATTGACAAAAGATAAAACATCAAAGGTTAAAGTAAAAAAAAAAAATAACTATTAATCAAATGTTAAATATTACTAACTAAATTTGCAAGAGTAGTTTTGGAACAACAATCAAACCCTAAAGTAATTAATATCTGGTATAAATCTGCTGTTATCTTTGGTTATATAACCTTAATCTAAACATCCAACCATCATATGTATCTGTTCATGGTATGCATTTATTACATAAGACTAATAAATCTTCCTTTAGATACAGTTGTTCTGTCCCAGACCGATATAGACAGGGTTAGGTCGAAGCATGAAATGCAGTCAGTGCATGTTTCAGAATCCAGAATCGAGGGAATAAGACATGCAGAGAAGTTTTGTCTGTCCAGCTCAGTTGGTAGAGCGCACGGCTCTTAATCTTGTGGTAGTGGGATCAAGTCTCACGGTGGGCATTCATAATTCTGACTGCCGGAGGTCTTCCACGGAAGCTGCTCTCAACCTGGCGTTACGGCAGCCTACTACCTTACCTCCCCTCACCCCCATTAGATATGGGAATAGGGTGAGCTAATTTAATGATACATATCACTTCATATCAATGACAGGGAAAAACATCACTACACCTAATACACAGTGAGTGTGTATATATATACTAAGGCAGAAATGCAATTTCTTAGACCGACAACATATGACATAGATGTCAGTAGCAGGAATATTTATTCTGTATTTCATTCATGAATGCAGTTCAACTAACAAGGAAAAGGCTATGACTTCACTGCGGATTTTAATGTTTTACTAAGTGAAAAAATTCATTGATAGGGTAAAATAAATATTTCAACAACCTATACCAATTACCAATTCAGTATGTATACCAACAAAACCAGATATCTTCGACTGCTACTAGCTCATATATAGCTGATATAACTAGTTGGATGAAGAAATTATTAGTATGTATAAGCTATTTTTGATGTTGAAAGCATTTATTTAATTAATTTTTTCAACAAGCTAAATGATATTAAACACTCCTATAATTCTATGTACCGTAAGAAAAATAAAAGATATGTGGATTCTTACGAGTTCAATAGACTTATCAGTTGGAGGAATTTGAACCCTATTCAGCACAAGAGATCGTTGTGTGTAGCAGTCCAGAATCATGGCTGTAAAGAGAACACACGAATTACCAAGAAATTAAAGCGATCATATGGTATTTATGTTCAAGTTTAAGAATACAGATGATACCTTTCTTACAGTGCTGCAACTTTCCCTGCAAGCCTGCAGCTTATTTGTTCAGCAGCAACAAAGCCAAGAATATATATATATAATACTATAAGCTAACATTGGATAAACGTAAGAAAAAGAGAGAAAAGAACAAAGTGATATCCCTTTTTTAGTCTTTAGATTCATCAGCTACCCATGCATAACAGCACAAGTGAAGGCTGCCAGTCAGGAAAGAAGGAAGGATAATGAGAGAGAACATACATACATACATACATATATATTTATATATGAACAGACAGGGGGAAAGCCATGGTTGGCAGGTTGCAATTTTTGTATTATATATACACAAGTTTCAACTCCATATGTTGCAGCTTGTTTCATCCTTGGCTCTTTCACAGATCCCAAACCTTAACTAACAAATGTACTGAAACAAAAAATAAATTAAAAGGAAAAAAGAAACTCAGATTGACGAAGTCATATCTTTCGGCCCTCTTTCCTAAATCCAGTGTCTGTCATGATTTTGACGACAAGGGATGAAAAAGAAGCAGAAAAAGAAAGAGAAGAAGAAAATTGTACGACCGTGCTGTGAATTTTCTCTTTAATGATCAGAGCTCCAAATCAATGAACAAGGAAGATTTCCCTTTCTTTGAACATTCAGCCTGAATATCGGACAGTGAGGAGTTGTTATTGTTATTGGACAGTTTTGGTTGGAGAGAAGAGGAAGAAGATTCATCTTGTGTCGGATTAGGACAGTCCATGTTCACACCAAACAACCTTAACCTTTTAGCCGCAGTTTTGTTTCCCCGAACAACTGGCACTGAATCAATCACCATCGGCTCCCCTCTCCCTCTTCCTCCTCCTCCTTGCAATGCCCCAATTTGATGTGATGATGACGTTAGATAATACTCCGACCCATTGCTATAAGTAATCGCCTGATGCGGATGCGGCTGCGGCTGCTGCTGTTGGTGGTGATGCTTGTAAGGATAAATGCTGTAATTCAACCGATGCAAAGGTTCATAGTTGCGAGACATGCAAATCGGTTGAGGCAGCGAGTAGAGTCTACTCCACCGGACCGGCTGAGGGAAGTTGAACTGATTTTGGAGCTGAATATGTGCAAACGGTGCCGGATCCAGCACATAGGGCCGGCGCCTCCAGTCGATGTACAACCGGTCTTTTGCCAACTCCCCAACACCTCGCTGAAACGACACTATATCACCTGCAACAAGCTTTTTTTCCTTTACGAAACGGCTCCAACCTTTGGTCATCACATAACTCTGGCTACTATTCCAATACGAGTACCGGAACCGCCACAACTTGCCAGTCCGATCCTCGAAATTCAAGAACAGCCCTTTTTCGATCGAGGACGAGTCGAGAGGGAAGTATTTCTCGGCATGTTGCTTCGGTATAACGAGGCGATTGAGCTTGCCTACATCGCTTGGTGTGACAACTTTATCAAACATGTGTTCTTTCTCAATAGACTTACTACCATCATCACCATCACCGCCTCTACAGCTTCTGACAACGTTTGGTTCTTCGTTGTTGTTGTTGTTGCTGCTGTTTCCAAGTGACAAATCCATAAACTCTAGTTTCTTGTCGAAATTGAAACCAGGCTCTTGGGTTTTGTGATCTTGTCGAGAATCCAAGGTTCCAAGCGATAAGTGGACGGTGTCCTTGTACTTGGAAGAAACGGACGATGAAGAAGAAGGGGAAAACGGGAAGTTGCTTGAAATTTCTCTTATCAGTACTTCCTCATCATCATCCTCTTGATCTTCGTTATTACAATACCCTTTTTCCTCTTGCATAAAGTTCATTATGATTCCCTTCTTTATCACTCTAGATGGTATTATTGATCCAGCTAGCTGCTATAATTTGAAACTAAAACAAGAAACTGACCTTCAAATAGAAGTATTCTCGATCTTTGAGGGACGGTGCCTTCTTCTTTGACTAAAACACACACACACACACACTGAAAACCTTAAACAAAACAAATTAAGATCGTGGAGGAATCAACAGGGAAAGTTGTTTCTGGGTTTTTTTGACCTGGCATTTTGGCTTACAAAGCAAGCAACAAACAAGAAGAAGAGGAGGAGGAAGAAATCCCCATTTTTTCTCTCTCTTTCTTTTGTGTTGCCTCCCTCGAAGGTTCTTTCAGTGCAATTGAACAAAGGTGAAGCCTATAATTCTTTGCTTTTTAGGTTCCTAAAGAAAGAGAGATAGAGAGAGAGAGAGTGATAAGGTTAATGCTCCAACGTAGGGGACCCATGAATGATCTGGTTCTACTCATGTGAGGTTGTCCTTTTCATGGTTTATATCTAATAATCATCTCCGTTAAGACCCCCAAACGCCCCAGTTGGTTTTTAACTAGTCCATGTTTTGCCCACAAAGTAATTTACTGCTACTGATGTTAGCTTTACACTTTCATGTTATTGGCTTCGGTTATTGGCCGAGCTAGTCGAGGATGAAAAAAGGCGAGTGAGTTCTAAGCGTGTTATAGTTAGGTTCTGAGTTTTGACTTTGGGCGCCATGCTGGTCCTGCAAAACAAGGATAAAAACTAGTGGACATCGTCATACAAAAATAAATACCATATAAAAAGATTCCCTCCGACCTTTCCACCCCCAAGTTAGTGCAGTAGTTCAAGTTCATCACCACTTTCTCAATCTATCTAATTTTGGTCCGCTCAATCTTATTCCAATTGATTCAAGTTATTTAGGTTTGGATCCTCACTTCAAAACATTTGAAATTAGGCGACTAAAATTAACATTTAACATTTCTTCTATCCTTGTGTATCATTATTATTAGGATGATCAAAATATCTAAACTCGTAGATTTTAATCTAACTCGACTTTATAAGATCTTTTTCTAAATTTTAAATTCGGAACGAGTTTTGTAAGGAAAGAGTTTGGGTAAGGTTGGCATCGGCTTTTGGATAAAAATATTTGACCATATCCAAGATAAATTATTCTAATTCTCTTATCTATATTCAAGGATAATTACTATAATACCTCTTTATTGTAATTTTTAATTATCTTATTATTCTATAGAATGAAAATAAAAAATAAAAAGAAAATATTATGTTGAGTCGGCTTATATCAAGGATGAAAATTTATCCCAAAAATTAAGGTGAATTTGAGATGAATAAGACATCATCAAACATAAACGAGTCATAATTAGATAAAAACTTTTGATTTTCAGATCAAGATTGCAATAATTTTTTCTATAGATTTATTAAAACTTTGAAGGATTATAATATGGAAAAAATGTTAACACAATCTTTAGAGTAATATTTATAAAAAAAATGTAATTAGTATTTTTAATTTAAGAACAGTATATTTAATGTAATTATAAGAACCTAAACTCGTCATACCTGCAAACAGACACCTATTAAAAATATAAAATTGTAAACCATTCTATATTAAACAATATTAATGTCATAAATATATATTAATTAACCTTTGAAGTAACTAAAAACATAATTAACAAAATCGTTATTAAAAATAATTTTGAAAATTATTTATGTCAACCATTTTTGAGTAAGCCTCTGATTTTCTCGAGCTGTCTCCTACGGATGAATTAAAATCCAAAAACAAAGATGATTTGAACCATCTTGTAACTTGTTGCTGACCAATACTGTGCCATGTTAAATATTTAAAAGTATCAATTCAACTTTGTATAATATTATAGAAGAAAATAAAAAAAAATATTTTTTAAGAGTTATATTTAAATATTTTATAAATTTTGGAGAGGGAGATATTATCCAATGATTCGATCCAATCAGATAATCGATCAAGATAAATTTAAATTCAATTTTATTATTAATGATAAAAATTAATATTTGAATATATTCAATATGTTACTATCAATTACTATTTTTTTCATATTAGTTTTATGGTGCGGCAACCCCACCTGCCCCAATTATCAACTTTGAGGATTTGAATGCCAAAATACCATACTCTTGCAATTAGTCCTAAATTTCAGCAAGACCCGCTGGTTTGGACCATTTAGGACAACTTTCTTGTTTAAATTATATGGATTATTATTTTTTATATAGTTAGTGAAAAAATAATTATTTGAAATAAATGTTGAGATATTTTCAATTTTACTTTTTTTAAAAAAAAATTAATATACTTAAAACAATGGTTGTAAATAATTTTCATAAACGTTCAATGTAATATTATTTTAACTGTTCTTCCTTAAAGACCATTCACTAATAAATTTGCTGAATACACTAAAGTCCAAACAGAGTCCGAATGTAACATAATTATTAGAAAAGCATACATGGAGTGTGAAATTAGATTGAGGCACTGGATTTTGTCAGATGGGAAGAAGGCAGACAATCTGAGGTTAAGATGATCACTATCTAATTTAAAAGAAATACAAAAAAATCCCAATGAACTGCAAAAGCAAAGTACTGGTATTTATAGTTGCCTCTGAAAGCTGTAGAAAGTAGTACACCACTGATCCGCCATTAACAACAAAAGTAAATTAAAATAGCTTCTTCATCTCACTCAAGCCCAGAGTCATTATTGTTGTATAAGCAAACAGGTCGTACGTAACGTTTACCAAGAAAATTTTCGAGGAAATTAATATCACGAGTTAACATCAAAGCTGAGGAAATGCAAATCAGTTCTCAACAGTGCCCAGCCTGCCCTTAGTTCTTTTAAGCTTAAAAGAAACCCTATTTCAGGGGGGGGGTGTGGACCTCTCTCTCTCTTGCTACCTTCCTCATGCACGCTCCACCGTTTGTTATAAGCCTAAACAAAGCTTTCCTTCTCTTATGCAGAACACTACTTCTTTATTATCTGCAGGTAAAAATTGCATTGAGAGTTGCAAACTGTTGGATTACAGTTTATATATATATATATATATGGTTGGATCTAAACGGAGACATAGGTTAAGGACCACAATTTTAGGGTATCCCCACCCTACAACCACCCCTATTTTCTTCCTCATACTCTCACATATTTCACTATGAATCCAGTTGGCGGTTATCTTGATAATACCTTTGCTGGATCTTTGTCCCCTTCTTTTACTCACACTTCCCCCACAATTCACTGCTGCTCTTAATTATAAAAAACAACATGATCATGTTTAGCCCATTAAGGAAAAAAGTTAGGGTTTCTAAGTTTTTTTTCTTTTTCTTTTTAGTGTTGGATTATGGTGTTTGGACTTTGGTAAGAAACATCCATGCTTTGATTTCATTGGTTAATTTTCTCGCGTTGAACTTTTATCAGGAAAGCCAGGTTTTTTTCCATTAGTTTATCAACCATAAAGGCTATAGGAGAAAGGAAGTAAAGTAAGATTGCTATAAGGCTACCTACACACCTCCGTCGGGCGCCGCGCCTTCTCTAAGCCACCAGCTACGGTGGCAGTGTGCTTGCCGGCACTGTTCTCTGAATGAATACCGTTGAGCCTCGCTTGCTGTTTTGTCGCTTTCCCTTGCTTCTTTTCCAGCTTCGACTGCTCCTTGCTTTTTTGTTTTGGTGAATAGCTTAGAGCCGCCGTGTAGTTTGGAATGCAAAAGGCAAATCATTAATTAATGTGTGTTTGAGTCATTATTGATGATGGGTAACTATCTTTGTCGATGATTACAGCTATAGCTTGCAAGCTCTCTTTTGTCCTTGTCGTCATCGTATATAGGGAAAGCTAAGCTAGGTTTTTTCAGTCTAAACTACGATTTTCATCAATCGTCTTTCACTATATTCCTATTTTGGTCAGTACACTTTAAAAACATTATATTTGATCACTCAACTTTTAATTTTTTTACACTCATGTGTTAAATCAGAAACAACAGGGTGATGTGACCTATTTTTTTACTCACGTACAAATCAATTTATTTTTTTGATTTCAACATCTTCTCAATAACTTTACAACTCTCGGAGTTTTATCTCCATCTCGTGCAACCGTCGACATCACTATTCTTCGACATCTTCTCTAATCATCCTAAAAATTAATAAATTCATTTTATTATCTTGTACTACTCCGTCATTTTTAATTTTTTAAAAATCTCTTTAAATTTCGTATAACTTCATCTTAAAACATGAAAAAAAAATAATAATCTACAATCCTCATCGTCTGATTATCATAGATCATGAATTATTTCTCTCTCTTCTTCTTCACTTCCTCATTGTTGGTATTTGGAAGATGCTTTAGTTAAAAAATCAAAGGAAATTTGAAAAGCTATATTAAATTTAGTTAAAAATCAAAGGAAATTTGAAAAACTATATTAAAATTTTGGGAAGAAAGTTTTCAGAGATAAATTAAAAAAAAACTTAAAGAAACGTTTTTAAGGTATTTCTAAACTTTTAAAAGATAGAGGCTATGTCATACCATTGTTAAATAATTAAAATAAAGTCACCAAAACATAATAATGTCTAGATTGGATGATTAAATCAATTTTTTTAAAAGTCAAATGAGTAAAACAAGAAGATAGTTAAAGTAGAGTGAAAAAATTTATAGATTACCATTTGTTGAGATGCTGTCGTTTGCTTCCTCTAGTTGCCTTAATTAATGTTGTTCAGCACACAGAAGTTCAATTTATATGTATGTCTTGTTATTTCTAGATCATGCATATGTACCTTAGGTATCTATATGAACGGCTCTAGCAGAAAAGTTGTTCCACCTAACTCTGCTTCATTTTTCACCGGCAAAATGGCCCAAATAATGTGGTTGGGAAGATTTTTTTCCCATAAATAATGTGATTTCCCAATTAAATCCTGATCTGGGGTGTTTTCTATAGTACAAGGCCAAAAGCTCTACGAAATCTCGGCGTCTTCAGGTAAAATAAAGGATCCGGAATCACTTGAGTCAGACAAAAATGAAAACTTTGGAAACACGTGGCGTCTTCAGGCAATGCAGAGGACTTCGGGAATACGCGACGTCTTCACCTCTGAACCAACTGTTGCATGCATGCATGGCTTGCTTGGGAACCAGCTGTTGATTGTGTGGGAATCAATGAGATCGGGTGTAATAATAATGGTGCCATTATTACACCAATAATGAAGCACCGAGTTGTTATAAAATAAGGGGGAGTTAGATTTTGGGTGAAGGTGAAGGAGAAAAAAGTAGGAGAAATTTGAGTGAGGCTAGAGAAAGAGGAATCCGGGTAGCTTGGTAAGCTTGAGAGTTCGATCGAAGGAAGGAAGAATTCGAGAGCTATCGTAAGCGATTTGATAAATTTAGTGTAAATTTTATTGTTTTTATTTAATTTTTTATTTGAAATATAATTAATAAGATTGTTATTTTGAATTTACATATTAAACTGTATTCGAGTGGCTTGGTAAGTTTAATTAAATTTCGAAGGAAG